TTGGGATCATAGTATGAAATGGGCTTTTATAGTTTAAATCTCAAATCCCACGTAATTTTAAACAAATTTAAAATCAAAATTACAAAAAAGGGTCTTTTGCATACTCACATACATAATTGGAATGAAATATGCGAATTGTATCTGTCTAATAAATGAATAGCATGTTCAAATCTGATTTATATTTTATTATGACAAGTGTTTTCGAACTTTTGTTGACTTAGACAGTTGGACCGTTCAGTTCGAAAACCATTCAGGCAACCGGTTTTGCTTCACCCTTAACCTGTTATTGGCCAAAAAACATTGACTTGGTTAGAGAAGCACTGACCCAGGCGATCGAACCATCGATTCATTCAACCCAGACAGCGGTTCAAGTTTTAAGAAGTTGCAGTTGTAGAGCAAATTGAGAGAGAGAGAGAGAGAAGATTGCAGATCTGAGATCGCAGAAAGATTTTTCCGCTAAGTTTTCTGTTTCTGCCACTGTTGTCGCTGTCATCATCACCATTGTCATCGTCGGTGAACGTCAGATGCTTCTCCTCCTCTTCCTCCCCTCCCTCCCTCCCTCCTTTCTTTTCCTTTCCTTTCTTTCTTTCTTTCTCAGCTGACAATTCTTTTTGTGTTTTTTCTTCTATGACTGAAATGAATATTATTTGCCCTAATGTTCTAAACCGTCTGAATCGTTTAACCGGGATGGTTGAATTGCTAACAGAAAACCAATGGCCAGAGCAATTCCATTTTCAGACCGATTTTTAAAACCTTGATTATGACCAAACGATGAATTGGATTTGAATTCTAATGAGATTAAATGTGATCCATTTACAGCCCTGCCCATATGGCCAGACCCTCAACTTCTGTTAAGTAGTTGTTATTTTATAAAAAGGAACCACCTTACTGCCCCCTTTTCCGGTTAAGTTAGAGTCATGTGGATTAGATTTGACTCAGTCATATATTGCAGGTGTTCCCTTTCCATGTAAGTTATAATAATGCCATTCAAAGTTTCAAATAAATTGGATTAATTAGCTTAGATGACCATTTAATGTAAAACACATGCATACAGGATTTGTTTCTTTTTAACAATCTTCAACTATGCATTTATGAAACTCAAGTACCAGGATATATATTAATATATATACTAAGTTTGAAACATTAATTTAGTCTTAAATAGATCGGAGAAACATCAAATTTCACATTTACAATGGGTCTTCACCAGATGTCAGGACTCAATTAACCCTTATTTATTTGAGAGGAGGTCCCGCGGTGTGTTGATGATATAGTATTAATTAATAAAGTCAGTAAAAGATTAAATACAAAATTAGGTTAGGGATAATTGCATTAAAAACAATATATTTTAAAATAATTAGGATCAATTCTATGATGCCATAGAAAGGTATCACGTGATTGATTACCACTTTGATTGGTTAGTAAGCTTTTCTTATATTACCATCAAACACTAAGCATAATATATTCAAGGTAACCATAATAATAATAAAAGTGTATATTAGGATATTCTTAAGATTGGAGACTAAGAGATAACTCAATGTGACCTATTCCGCTCCTTTTTAGTTTAATAGTTCATAACAAATGAAAGTTAGAGGAAGATGACTCCCTATAATTAGATTGGAGCAAAATGGAGCTCTAAGAACTGCTACCCACAAGAACATTACCATATCAGTCACACAACAGGAACAGCTTCTATACCTTTTTTTTTTTTTTTGTATATCACAATTCATGGGATGTTTCCATGTGTGTCTAGATGCCAAAATGGAGGGGTGCATTTGGGTAAATACCATTTTGACTAAAAAGAAAATTTTATAAAATAATTGTGAAACCAATAATGCTGTATGGAGTACAGTAAGAAATAACAGAAACACAAATGCTTATATGGATGGATGGTAAAACCCGGAAGGGTCAGAAATAAAGTCATATGAGGGGACTAGTATAGAAGCTCCAATATGTGATAATTAAAATGATAGAAAGCATATTGAGATGTTTCGGTCACACATATAGAAGACATCTGCAACACGTCAACACCTATTAAGGCCATATTTATTTGAGGTGTAAATGAAAATCGGGGTAAACTTTACACCTCGGTTCGATTTTGCAGGCATTTGGTAGAGTTGTTAATATACCTTGTCAATCAATGTAAAAGTCCATTCTTGTTAGTATTTCCCTCGAAAATCAGTGGAAAGTTTACATCGATAAAATCGATGTAAAACTTTACCTTCCTTTCCATCCAACGGTCACCTCGTGTCTCCTCTCTATCTTGCAAAGTCACCCCTCTTCTCTCTCTCTCTCTCTCTCTCTCTGAGATTTGACATTAGCAACAAGTGATTATTGCATTATAATTAAAGCTTTGTTTCCATAAAAAAATTGCATTATATGGTATTGGATAGTTGTGGTTCGATAGGCTCTGGATTTCTTGCCCACAGGAACTCTGTCCATGCCTACCCACAAAACACTACCTCTATGCATTGAGAATATCTCCCTGTGCATAATAACATGTAAGAGGATGAGATGTTCCCATATGTGATTGCGATGTTATGTGGGTAGGTGTGAGTAGAATTGTTGTGGATAAGTAATCCAGACTCAGATCGATATCGATATTAGATCCAATTATATCGATTTCAGATCACACATCTTATATATATACATTAATACGAAAGGGGTGGTCTCCCCTTTCGCCATTTCTGATTAATTATAATACTGTTATTTATTTATTATTTATTTTAACCCAGTTTTAATAATTACTGATTATTGCAATAATTTAATAAGTATATAATTAGTGATTATAATTAATGAATACTGTTATTATAAATATTGTTAATAGATAGATATTTACTTTAATTTTACTTTAAATTAAAATTATAAATACTGTTAATAAATTTAGTAATTATTGTTATATTAAAAATAATTAAAAATGTTATTAAAAGTATTGTTATTGATTATTTAATAAAATATTATAACTACTRACTATTAYTRATAAATACTATTAATTTAATTTAATTTTGGTAATTATTAATTTAATGAATATTGTTAATAAATCCTATTCATAAATTTAATAATTACTGTTTTATTAAAAATAACTAAATAATATTATTAAAACTATCATTACTTATTACTTAATAAAATATTATAATTACTTACTATTATTGATAAATGTTGTTAATAATTAAATGTTTAATAAATAATGTTAACAAAATTTAGCAAAAATAATGTTTATCTTTTTGCTTATTGAATTTCTTTGGTTTGAATTTTTAGGTTTTGTGCTTTGAAGATTGTTACATAATGTTAATTAAAAATGCTATTTGCATTTAGCTTAATGAATTGCTTCAAGGTTCTAAATATTGACACGGGCCGATACGCCCTGTGTTGGCGCTTTTTTTTTTTTTTTACATTTTACTTATTTTTTTCGAAATCAGTTTGAGGGGCCAGTTTAAGGCCTAGCTACCCTCTGAACCAGTGGCTAACCTGATACAACCCCTGTAGGGGCGTATCGGGAAGCCATCGACATGATAAGTATCGGTCGATACGGGTCGATATGTGTCGACACTTTGAACCTTGAATTGCTATGGTTTACATTTATAGATTTTGTGCTTTGAAAATTGTTACTTATTGTAAGTTAAAAATATTTCTATTTGATTTTTTTTTTGAAATTTGATAACTGTTATACCTAAAATTGTCAAATAATGTAACAATAACAATTGTCAAATAATTATAAAAATTATCAAATATAAATTAAAAGAAATTACCATTATTAGACATAAATTACCAATATTTATAATAAATTACTAAAAATAAATCAAAAGAAATTATCACAAATTAGTAGACTTTAAGATGACAATTACTTGAAATGATCAAATAATATAATCCTAAATACATTAAAATAATTTGCCAAAAATTATCATAAATTAGTATAAATGTCCAAAAATAGTCACTAAATTCCATAAAATTGATAAATTACTATAATTTACCAATAAAATATCATATAATAAATATAATACATTAGTAAATATTTACCAAGAAATTAGTATATAATAGAAATTACCAGAAATTAGTAGAAATTATATAATAGAACTAATTTCCACTAATTTACCAATAAACTATCATATAATAAGTAGAAAAAATAAGTATATATTGACCAAGAATTCTCATAAATTAGTATAATATTAATTACCAGAAAGCAGTAGAACTTAGCAAAAAATAACCACTAATTTCCATAGAATATTATATTTACCAAGAATTATCATAAATTATTATATGATAAAATAGATGAAATTAGTAGAACTTAGGGAAAAATAACCACTAATTTCTATAAAATATGATAAAATAGATGAAATTAGTATAACTTTGTGAAAATAACCATTAAATTCAAAATTAGTAGAATTTAGGATGATAATTACTTCAAATTATCAAATAATATGAACCTAAATAAGTTACAATAATTTGTCAAAAATTGCATTTCGTTTTCCCTTACATTGCACGGGAAAATCAGATACTTTTTGCAGTTTGAAAAATCAGATGCTTTTTGCAGCGGTAGAAAATGAAAGCTTCCCATTATTTTTGTTTTCTTTGATCATCTAGATTTGATTAATTTCTGGGTTTACATATATATTGGGTTGGGGGTCTAGTTCCCTATAAATATCTACTCTTGAAAGTTGAAACTACTTCTTAAGCTAATAGTCTTTTATCTTCAAATGTGATTTCCAAAAAACGAAGTAACAGCAGGTTAATTAGAAGAATATTAAATGTGTCTATCATCTCTATTCTTACAACCCAAATTAACTTTATTACGATTAAACTATAAAGGATTTCCCACTACACAGAAAGAAATAAAAAATCGAGATATGATTAATTTTCTGTGACGGAAAATTAAAAAAGAGAGAAAAAAAAAAAGAAATGAGACCAAGAACAGCATAGAACCAACCAGTCATTAAATAATACAAAACTTCTTGTACAAATCGCGTGTATATGTATATTAGTTCTAATTAAACAAGCGCTAGCTGTTACTTTGAATCATTCAACAATTTCAAATATTCCTTCAACTCAGAAGGGAAACAGGGGTATTGCCTCCATGAATTCTCATGCAGCTTGATGATCTTCAATGCCTTATCCTTGGTCGAGGAGCGGCCGTCCATGTGCAGCAGCGCCACAAGTTTCTTCACCGACCCATAAACCAACATCTCCTCTACTACCTTTTCTGTGGGATGGAAATTGCAAATCAACCAGAAAATCTTCACTCCATATTTGGTTACAAGATCGGAGACCCGCAATATCTTCTTAGTGATTGCAGCGATCCCCAAGCTATGCTCGACCAAGGCCAGTCTCCCCTCAGCACATTCACATAGCAATTTGATGATCACCAACATCTTTTCGCATTTGGATCGGTTTGCATCAGGGAGAAGCTCGATCAGGACGCAGACAGCGCCTGCTTCAATGGCCTTCAATCTATTCTTTTTTGATGCATTCAATATCTCGATCAGAATATCCAATGCGGATGAGCTCGCCTTGGTGCTGAGCTCATCCGATAAGAGCTCTAACAGAGACTTAAACAGATCCATACCCTGATCTTCCACAACCCAACTCCAATTGTACTCGACTTTGGCCATCTTTCTGAACATGGAGACTGTGTGCAATCTGGCCTCGGCACTTCCACGTTGAAGCATAATTGCCATGGATTTCATGCATTCCGGCTTCGATAACAATTGAATCGATGATTCATCGGATAATGGGAGTTGGTGCAGAACACCCAGAGCTTCCTCGCAAGCTCGGAATGCCATGAAATCGGAGCTGTCGACTAGAATCTGGACAATAATGCGACTAAGCACATCGACCCCTCCTGATTGAACAAAATCACCCATCACGGCGTCGTCGTTGAATTCGATAATTGCTCTGAGTTTCTTTAGTGAACTCACCTTGAATGGCGTGGACTCCATTGTGGTGAGTAGAGATACCAACTCGGTGTGCTTGGTCGAGATGGGAGACGACGACAGACGAAACTGAGACTCACGATCCTGCCATGCGAGGATGAGGCTCTTTAACGTGAGGTTTGGGGTGAGGTCGAAGCTCTGAATGCATTGCATCGTAGCCGGGCAGGTCTTCTTGTTGTACTTGAAGAACCATGTCTCGATGTTCTTCCTTTCATAGGTGACGCCGGTGGAGATGGTAACTGGGTCTTTCATGATTTCCATTGAAATGGGGCACCTGAAATACAGAGGAATTTCCATGGATTGATCATGTTGCTTTTCTTTCGCCATGGCATTCATTTGAAGAAGAGATCGCACTGATCAGCAGCGATCGAGATGGGGAGATCAGATCACCCCAACTTATTATATCTGGGGGAGAGGGAGAGAGATCAAAGTCAAAACACAGAAGATGCTCTTGCAAGCTGTGGAACATGGCAGCTCACAACCAAAGCGATCAAAGAGTTGATTTTTTTTTTTTAATTTTATGGGGGGGATCGGAGGGGTTTTTTTAATTTTGTGCAAATGTAACAGAACTGACCTTTTGGTGTTTGACTTTTAAAAGATTAAAGCAAACGCAACGCCTGCATGGAAATTGTCAAATTTAGGGAACTCAAAATCTAAACTAAGTATATTAATTCAACAGTCTTTGGAAGGCTTCCTTTTCTCTGCTTTTGTGGGCGGTTGAACGGCTTTGTTGAGCGCTTACCCAACATTAAATATTATTTATAAAATTAAACAACCGGTCTACTTGAGCGGCCTCGCTGACTCTCTCTCTCTCTCTCTCTCTCACTGTGTTACAAACTTAAAATTAGCCAGCTTTATCACGAGGCGAAGTGGGTATTATTTGGCCTTAGTTGGGGGCCAGCTATGTAGACGACGGTCCTATCTGCCGAAGCTTTCATACTTTTTTTTTTGTTATTTTTTTCCTTAATTGATAGAGAATTAAATTGTTAATATGGATCAATTTAAGGGTTTCCTTAAATCATTTAGATTAATGTAGTCATTGGATAATAAATAACAGTTCTTAATAGTCGTGTGGTTGATTACTATCCCATCATCAAATGATAAAGTTCAGTGGTGAAGCCAAAAAATAGAGATGTTTGGAGAGGGCAATCTTTAAGTTTAGAATAGTCGTGGGGTTCACTCTAAGGGTGCAACTTTGGTTAGTTTGGTTTCTCACATTTGAATTTTGAAGGAGCCCGCAAACCATTGCATCAGCATCATCATCGTTATCTTAACCTTATTCCAATTCTTAACCATCTGGGGTTGGCTATATGAATCATGTTTGGCCATTGTGTTCTATTTAATGTTATACTCGTTAGTAGCCGGTCCCARTGTGATGTATGGAAAAAAGATGTTAGGGCTTATTGAGCTAAAAACTAATTGCTTTATGGTACTACACAATCCGGGGGTAGGGATGGCAATATTCCTCTTTTCCGTTGAGTACTTAGCTTCCCCAACCAAGCGGGAATGGGGATGGAGATTGCCTTAGCGGGGACAGGGTGGGAATGAGATTAATAGGAATACCTGATTGGGGACGCAGATGGGGATGGGGAGTGAAATCCACAACCTGCCCTAATTATATATATTAAATATATATATATATAATATTATTTATATTATATATATATATATATCAAAATACATTTGAAATTTTCAAATTTAATTTTTCATTTATTTTAAATAAATACCTTTCTGAAAACAAACTTTTAATTAAAAAATTCAGGGATTTAGGTTCCCGATGGAGAACCCATCTCCATTGAGGATCAAGGCTAGAGACGGGGATTAATTTAAAACTTGAGGTCGGGATGGAATATGATCCCTGCCCCGAACCCGTCCACTACCATTCCTATCTAGGGGATCACCCCCTAAACCCATAAATATAGTTCCAATAATTATGGTAATTATAAATGTAGTATTCAATACTTGTGGAAATTATTAAAATTTTCCAATTATTTATTTATTTGAATAATCGGAAGTTTTATAATTTAACTTTTACTAAATTAAATTACCAAAATCACTAATTATTGCTCAAAAATTATAGTAACTATCAAAATTACTGAAAAATATATATTTATTGAAATTAATTTTTCATTGAAAAAATTACTGAAAATTTTCAATTATTAATTGATAATATCATTAAATATTAATATATTGACCAAAATTACTGAAAATATCAATAACTACTCATTTCTAAACAATTACTAAAATATCAAAATTATTGAAAATGTACAAAAATTGAAATAAATTTTCCAATAAAAAATTACCAATAATTTTTAATTATTAATATTTTAATTATTTATTAATTTTCAGTAATTATTGATTTTCAAAATTTTTGAAATTAGTTATTAAAATCAATAATTTCCAGCAAGTAGTTATTAGTAATTAAAGTTTTCAATTTACCAAAATTACAAAAAATTATAGTTTAGGTGTTGATAGTTACTGAATAATATTCAATATATCAGTAATTATTGAAAATATCAAAAATATTTTCCAAAATAAATTTAGCTACATTTTTGTTTTTAAGATGATTTATTGGGCATGTAATATAGATTAAGAGGTGTTTTAGGAAAAACTTTAGTTGGGAGAGAGAATTTAGTAGAAATTTTAAGAGAGGGATTAGCTAAGTGATTGGGAACATGAGAGTCCATGTAAGCCATTAAATTTTAGGTGGGAGAGAGAATTTAGTAGAAAGTTTTATTGTACAAAACTCACATTAGGTTAAGATTTCCCTTAGATCACCATTAGTGATTATTAATAGAAGTTGTCCATGTAAGCACTTAAGTATTTATATAACCAAATTACCCGTAAATGGCTGGTTAAGCTTATTAAATATTTTTCATGACAAAATTATCCTTGACCTGAGCCCAAATCCAGACTTGGCCAGCAGCAGTTGGGGGTAATTTTGTTATAAAAATATTTAATATGGTTGACTGATCATTCAGGTATARTTTGGTCATGTAAAATACTTAAATGCTTATATGGACAACTTTTATTTATGATCATCACAATTGATGATCTAACAAAGATCTAAATGTAAATCATGACAAGTTTTAGATAATATCCCTTTAATATATAATTAAACAATTTAAACCATTCCTATTTTTAATTCATGTCTTTTGCTAGTGAGGCTTTTGGTAGCCAAAGATGTTGTTAAATTACATTACTATTTTGGGAGGGCTTCTGCATTGATTGAGATGCGTTGCTTGAAACAGGTGTTTTGGGTTTTTCAACTCATCTAACCTGAGGAGCCACTGCATGAAATCCCTCCCATACATGTAGTAAGTAAAGGTAATTGACAAAAGATACTTTAGAAATGATACATGCACCAACAATTAAGGCTGCCTTTTGCTGTTGAAGCTACAGAAAGCTAAGGGGGATGTGAGGTAGCATCAAACCAAGGTTTGTTTGTCCATGGTTTGAAAGAAGCTTCAAGCTAAGACCCATAGTATATATCCAGGGTAATACCTAGCTGTACCCTGACAACATGTCTGAGTAATGAAATTTGGACCACATTTTGTTGAAAAGCCTGAGCAGCAGGGACCAAAGCTTAGCCTGTAGAGCTACTCTAATATTGAAAAACAAATAAAAAAAAAAAAACATAATCAATTAAATAACTCTAGAGCATCAAAATCTGTGGACCACTTCCAGTTCTAAATAATAATGCCATATTTTTAATGGTTTAAATGATTAAAATATTCTATATAACTGTACTAGTGTCTGGATTAGTTCCATTGGTCTAATGGCTACCCCAGTTCTAAATTAAGACTGAGATTTGGACATATATAGTACAAAGAAGGTGATGGCAATTGTTAATAGTAGGGGATCTTTTATTTAAGATAGGTCAACAGACAAGGTCATGATCATCAAGGACTAAATGCATGGCTGTTATTGGATACAAATGTATTATTTTATATGATTTTAGTCTTAATTAATAGAGGATTACTCCAAATCTATGTTTTTGGTTTGACAATAAATGTGAAACGGCCGGATCCTTTTCTCAACTTTCTGATTCTTTTATTTTCTGTCAATCCAAACACAGCCTAAGTGATTGATTAGGATATGTTGATTGATAAAACTTAAGAAGGGTTTCCTGTAACTTGTTCAACTTGTCTATGAAATCCATTGGAGCCAGCAGTATAGCAAAATTCAGTACGTAAGTCTGGCATTGGGATGATGATGAGCTATGTTATGTATGATATGATAAATTAGGAAATATATAGTAATAACTAATAACATCCCATAGGAGTACAACACCACCATCATGACTAAAAGAGATCAGAGAAAATAAAAAGGAAAAAAAAAAGGTTTAAATCCAATGGACTTAATTGAATTACATTGAAATTTTCTTAATTAATTGTTGCTGGGTTTCTTTCTTATCTTGAGAACTACTTAATTTCATCTTCCCAAGCTAGCTTTGTTATAATATATATCGAATCATTGAAGTAATTAGAATGATACCTTTCGTGGCCTTGCTATATGACAGATGAACAAGAAGAGTAGAAGACCATCTTCTATTTTTATCGATCGGCTGAGGCTTCGAAGAAGGAAATGAGTTGCAATTAATTCATGAGGGACCACTTAAAATACTGCTAGTTTTCTGAATCATGAAAATTCATGGTTTGTCTTTATTTTGAAAATTTCCAATCAATGGCAGGTAGACAGTAAACTATATTAAGGTTTGCCACCTGGCAAAGGGATATTTGGTTGAACATTGGCACGTAAAATAGTATGGATAAGCGCGTATAGATTTGTCAGCCATCTTCTGGGTTAATAAGGAGCCGACCTCAAGTTTTATATATTTCTTTTTATTTTGAAAGGAGAAAGTCAATCTTCCACAGTCGTGGTTTAATGAAGCTTATATTTTTTCTGAAGATTAATTAAGCTCATCAGTTGGGATATGATCAGATGATATGAGCGAGATTGCTCTATCCATACGTTTTCTGGAGGTCCAAGTTCAACGTCCATACAGGGGTAATGCAGTAACAAGAAGCGTGGACTACTTGATCATTAATTGTTGGAATATTATTTTTCTTTCTTTTGTAAATAAAATGGTGATCTTATACTATAGAGGAATTAATTAAGGAAACCCAGAAAGGCAGATGGTGTACTACTGCAAAACCAAGCAACATAACGTGTTCAAGTTTCGATAATCAAAGCTTCTAAGGCCCGAAAACAGATGCCTTTTCTAGTTCCCATCTGGCGCCAGCGGAGTTCATTGGGTGCAGAAGCCAGAAAGCGTGAAAGCTGAGACAAGTTAAAAATGGCAGACTTAAAGCTCTACCGTTTCT